CCATGTGTCCAGTTCCTCCTCAGCAATCCTCACCTGTGGTGGCTGCACGGCTCAGAGTCCGACACTAACGGCCACCAAGGAAGCCCTGCCCAGGAGAGCATCGACCAAGTGAGTGAGGGGCCCTGGCGCCCCGCTTGGGCGGGCGGTTCTGGGCCTGCAGGTGCCTGCCCGGGAGCCCCTGAGCGAGCCGGCCAGGCAGGGTGCCGGCAGGGCCAGGAGCCGGGGAGGCGTTGGCATGATCTGGCCACTTCTCTCTCCAGCCCTGTGCCTTCGACCCCCTGAAAAGATCATGGATCTAGCTGTAGTGGATTCCTGTCCCATGTGCCAGCTCCGTGCACCTTATGTGCCTTGAGCGTGGTGGCCGCTTCGCTTGCAGTACTTGTGGCTGGGTATGAGCAGCACGGTGCTGCCTGGCTCCAGCGTGGGCCCCACCGTGGCCTGGCCGACTCCAGGATCTGTGAACCCAAGTATTCCAAGACCCCTTCCTGAGGGCTTGAGGCCCACTGGCCAAAGAGCGCCTGCAGGAAGGGCAGGGGTGTGCGTGCTGGGCAGCTTGAGGCGAGGTGGGTCCCGTAGGCCTCAGCCTTGCTCATGAACACGCCTGTCGCTGTGTCCTCCCCAGCTGGTGTACATGGGTTTTGACACAGTTGTGGCCGAAGCCGCGCTGCGGGTTTTTGGGGGCAACGTCCAGCTGGCGGCTCAGACTCTGGCACACCATGGAGGGACCCTTCCTCCCGACCTGCAGTTCTCGGGGGAGGACGACTCCTCCACGCCATCCACGTCTCCTTCGGACTCCGCAGGTAGGCTGAGGCCCCAGGGAGCCCTGTGAACAGTGGCCTGTGAAGTCCCAGGGAGAGACTGGGCGCTGGCTGCCACCAGGGTGAACCAACTGCAGCCGGCCCAGGCCACTGTCCTCACACTGCTCCCCCCCCCCCCCCCCACCTGCTGCACCCTGCAGGAACCTCAAGCGCCTCCACGGATGAAGACATGGAGACAGAGGCCGTCAACGAGATCTTGGAGGACATCCCCGAGCACGAGGAAGACTACCTGGACTCCACGCTGGAGGATGAAGAGATGATTATCGCAGAGTACTTATCCTACGTAGAACACATAAAGTCAGCCCCTAAGAAAAACTAGAGAATGAACAGAAATAAGTGCTAAGTTTCTGCTTATAAATCCCGTCATTGTGAAAAGTCTAATGCAGGCCTTCCTTGTGTTCCATTTGCTGTTGATGGATTTTGTTCTTTGGTGTAGGAGGGGCCGCAGGGGTCCCCCGCAGAGGACAGAGATAAGGGGGACTTGGGAAGGCGCATGCTCTGGCCTGACTCTGCTGTTCCTTCTGGCTCCCAACTCCGCCTCCCTGCCTGCCCATCCACAACCAAAGAGCGGGCTCACCACAGGAGCAAGGGGCCGTGGCCCCTGGGGTCTCGGGGCACAGGGGACAGTTGGGTGTGCTGGGCCCGCCTTGTTTCCTATGTAGCTCTCAAACCGCTTTTGGAGAGGCCCCTCTGCCTGTGCCCCTCTGCTCATGCCGGCCAGCCCCGCGCTCGCAGCTGCCGTAATACTCCGTCCTTCCAGCCAAGGGCAGTGTGCTGACAAGGCTCAGGCCCTACTGGCAAATGCTTTATCTTGAAACAGTGGTTCCTATGAGTTCAGCAAAACACCCACTTAAAATTCAAGGTTGCGATCACTCCCTATGTGTCAGTCCTTGTTCAAAGTGAAAATCTTTTATTAAATAACAAATATTAATCAAAGCACCTATTCTAATTAATATTTTGAGACTGCTATCATAAAGTCATGGCTAGCTGTCAGAGACTTAGATGTATTTTTTCCAACTTTCTGCTGGGGATTTGTCGTAGCTAGGTGACAGAAGATTATGCCTTGGGTGTGCGGTCAGCCTTTCATTGACTGAAGTAACTCCTCCCCATGTCCAGCATCCCTCTTGATGTGGCCTGGACAGCAGCCTTCCACTACTCAGCCTGGGGGCAGCAGCTGTGACGGATGGAGCAGCAGATGTGCACAGCGTGGACTGCAGGCCGCGTGGGCTGTGCCGCCGCCAGGGCTGACTGTGGTGCTTGAGCTGTGCAGCAGGTGCACAGCACTAGTGTGGCTAAGTGGAACCGGTCTCGTCATTCTTTTCCAGTGCAGGGCACTGATGGAAATGAAAGGTGGAAAAGCCCTTTGAAACTGTTGGCCTAGCTGCAGCAAGTGGCTAAAATGCTCTGTGGTTTGATGTGGGGTTTTTTGGTATCAATACAAGGGCTTGAACTCAGGACCAGAGTGCTATCCCTTAGCCTTTTTTGTTCAAGGCTGGTGCTCTACCACTTGCGCCACAGTTCCACTTGTTTTTGGTGGTTAATTGGAGATGAGTCTCATGGACTATCTGACTCAGATCTTAGTCTCCTGAGTAGCTGGGATGATAGATAGGAGCCACCAGTACCTGGCTGTGGTTTGCCATCTTGAAAACCTCTGTAGTCATGGGCTGTATATATAGATCGCTTGCCTGGCACACATGCCACCCTGAGTTCCACTCCCAGTGATGGTAGTTGCTGCTTTGGAAAGGGCATGGGTGGAAAATAGGGCTTGGGGTGGAGCAGGGAGGAGCAAGTCTCCATGAAGCAGGCCACACAGTGGAGAGACTGGGCTTCACTGGTGAAAATGTGCCTGGATTCGGATCTGACCTGAAGAGCCCCTGACCTGGGCCTCCTGCACATGTGGCTGCCGGTGTCCCAGCAGCTGGAAGGCTGATTGGTTTAAAGCGTGGGCAGCACCATTGTACCAGCAGACAGGAAGTGCTGCTGTCCTGAAAGAGCTTCGACCTGCTGGGCCTGGCTGAGACTACTGTGGGGGGACTGAGGCTGAGAGTCCGGCCAGGCTCAGGAGGGTCTCTGAGAGCCAGAGGAGAAAGAATATTCCATACCTGGGGCAAATGACAGGTGACATGGTCTTGTGTTGGGCAGAGATGAGGCTGGGAGGCGTGCTATGGCCCAATGCCCTGGCTGTCCCCGGCTCACCTGCAGACCTGTGCAGGTGTGAGGGGGACACACAACTGAGCTTTGCCTAAGGCAGTGGAGGATGGACTCAGCTGAGTCTGACGTTGGCCATGCTTACACTGCCCTCCCGGCCGCCAGCCTCCTGTCCTCCCCCGGCCGGCTGAGACCCGTCGCAGGCGCACACACATTTTCTCGTCTTCTGCATTGACCACACACATACACCTGGTTTCTTATTTTCCCTCCCTTTTTGGGGTGCTGCTGGAGACTGAACCCAGGGTTCAGTTTGCTCCACTAGTCCTGGGGCTTAAACTCAGGGCCTGGGTGCTGTCCCTGAGCTATTTTTTGTTCAAGGTTCTACCGCTTGAGCCGTGGCTCCTTTTGTGGTATTTTTTGTTGGGTTTTTTTGTGTGTGTGTGTGGTTAATTAGAGATGAGTCTCATGGGCGTTCTTGTCCAGGCTGGCTTTGAACTTTGATCCTCAGCCTCCTGAATGGCTTGCATTACAGCAGTGAGCAACTGGCACCCAGCTTGCCCAGATACTAAGAGAGAGCTCTACTACTGAGCTACAAGCCCTACTCTGGCTCTTTTGGTGATGGGAGGGGCCGGGCCTGTCTGAGGACGCGCAACAGCACCACAGCTACCCATCATAGGCTCGTGGGGTCCAGGAGGGGACCGGCCACCTTCATGGTCTAGCATCAAGCCAGTCTCTTGGTGGAATGTGTTGTGCTAAATCAGTACACAATGGCGGCTTCCTGACTGAATGGGCGGCACAGATTTGGTGTCCAGGGGCGTTCCCCTGGCTGGGTAGATGGCAGTGTGTTTACTGTGGCCACGTGAGCGTCACCAGGCAGTGTCAGCCTCTGGAAGAAGGACCGGGAGGACCAGCAGGCAGCTCTGTGCCTGTACTCGCTACAACCCGCTCCACCTGGCCCCACGGGGAGCTGCGGAGCCTGCCAGATCTGGTCCCCTCGCCTGTGAACACCCAAGTAAGTCCCACCCTAAGGATGTTAGGTTCTACTTCCCGGATTCTACCTGCCACCAAATAGCCACTTCCTGTGGCTGCAGCTTTGTTGTAAAGGTGTGAGTCCCTCCTTCCCTTAATGCCATTCTTTTATGGGGCTTGAGATCTCAAGAGCGAAGGTATAGCCCGTGGAGCCTGAGACTCTAGGGCACTGGACCTTACCAAAGAAACACCTCTCTCCACAAGTCAGGTGCACAGTGCCCGCCCAGGGGCTGATCTGCAAGCCAGCTCCTAGCTGTGTGTGCACGTGTGCATGCACGTGTGCATTGGGACTTGAACTCAAAAGAGTTTGGGCACTGTCCCTGAGCTGCTTTTGCTCAAGACTAGCACCACTTGAGTCACAATTTCACTTCTACATTTTCAGTAGTTTTTATTGGAGACAAGAGTTATGGACTTTGCTGCTTGGGCTGGCTTTGAACCATGATCCTCAGATGTCATCCTCCTGAGCTAGGATTACAGTGTGAGCTTTAAATGTCAGCGGCCGTCTGTCACCTCTTTGCGCTCGAGGTCACCAGAGCCTGGCCTGCAGGACACGGCATCCCTTCAGGTGAGTCCGGCTCCCACACACCACCTGCCGAGCCCCCCCCCCCAGTGTGTGCGTCTGGTATGCCCTGTGTCGCCTCCATGCTTGTCCACAGTGGCCCGCAGCGCAAAGCCAGGGAACGTGCATGCCCTCCTAGTCCACGCCTCCGTGCAGAGGCGCTGGGACGCAGCAGAAGATCGCAGGCAGAGACCCCACTGCCCACGGGATGGCCACAGAACCCCATGCTTAGCCGTCACCTCCACAAGGAAGCCAGGCTCAGTTGCCAAACAAACCGCACTCGAGCGCTTGGAAGGAAGTGTATTTGATGAGGAGCAGGAGGGGGAGGCCGGCTTCCGGGGCTTCCGTGCCGAGGTGCCACAGTCCCGGGCTCCAAGAGTGGAGCCTTCAGGCTGGGGCGCCTGCAAGCCAGGGGAGCAACAGGGCCTTGGCTGCCGTGGGGGAAGACGGGCCTCGCTGTGGGCAAGGGCCAGGTCTGCAGGGCCTGAGCTTCCCTGGGCTCAGGCGGGCTGCAGAGGCGCGGAGGCCGCACAGGCCACCTTGTTGCTGAAGAGCCGGGACAGGCTGCGTGTGGCTGCAGGCCTGCGTGCGGGGGGTGGGGGGCCCAGGAGCCCGCGCACGTCCCACAGGCGCAGAGCCCCGTCGTGCGACGCTGTGTACAGCACCTGGCCGTGCACCTGTGGGTGGGCAGGGTGGGTGTCAGCCGGGCAGGGCCCTCTCCGGGGTGGAGGGGCTGCACTCCCCCGGGGTACGGGGGTGGGGCGGGCTACCTGGAGACAGTTGATGACCAGCGCGTGGCCCCGGAACACCCTCTGCAGGACTCCAGACTGGGCATCGAAGGCCCGGGCACAGGCATCCCCGCTGCCCGTGAACACTGCAGACACAAGCCGCACGCTGGGCCCGCCCGGCTGTCTCCCTCCTCCCCTCCCCAGGGCGCTGCGGGAACACTGCAAAGCCGTGTCCTGAGGTGAGAGATGTGTTTTGGTTTTGTTTGGGCCAGTACTGGGGCTTGAACTCAGGGCCTGGGTGCTGTCTCTTAGTTATTTTGCTCAAGGCTGGTGGTCTCCCACATGAACCATACTCTATTTCTAACTTTTTTGCTAGGTAACTAGAGAGAGTGTCACAGAAGCCAGACACTGGTGACTCACGCCTGTAATTCTACCTACTCAGCAGGCTGAGAGCTGAGGATCATGGTTCAAAGCCAGCCCTAACAGGAAAGAAAGCCTGTGAAACTCCTATCTCCAATTAACTACTGAAAAAGCCAGAAGTAGACCTTTGGCTCAAGTATCAAAAGTGCTAGCTTTGAATAAAAAAAGCTGGACAGTACCCAGGCCCTGAGTTCAACACCTGGGACTGGCACCAACAAAGACTTTTCTGTCCTGGCTGGCTTTGAACTAGGATCCTCAGTTCTCAGCCCCCGAGTAGCTATGATAACAGAGCGAGCTACCAGCAGCTGGCAGCATCCAGCATCTTGTCTGCCCTTTTTGTTGTTGGTGGTGGTGGTAGTTGTGAGGTTTGAACACGGCTTGGGCATTGTCCCCGAGCTCTTCAGCTCAAGGCGGGCGCTTTACCACTTGAGCCACAGCACCACTTCCGGTTTTCTCACGGACTTTCCTGCCTGGGCTGGCTTTGAACCGCTATCCTCAGCCTCCTTAGTAGCTAGGATTACAGGCGTGAGCCACCAGGGCCCAACTTTGCCCTTTCTATTCAGAATAATCCCAGCTCATTGCTAAAATAAGGTTCCAGACATCTAGTCTGCGCTGGGCACAGCAGCCTCAGGGAAGGTCTGCAGGTGGCCTTAAAGGGGCTGGTTATCTAGCGGAAGCAATCCTTTGTTCTTCCCTCCCTGCTCTTCCTGCCTGGCTAAAATGTGGCGTGCCGCGTGACGGCTGGTGTTCCCGCAGCTATCAGAAACCGTGAGGTTCCATGAGGCAGAAGAGGGCTAAGGAGGAAGGCGCGCTGGAAGGAATTGGGGTCTGTGGGGTCCTCGCTTCCAGGCTTGACAGCCTCGTGAAGTCATCTGCCTGACAAGGAAATTCACCACGACCTTGTTCTCAAATTACTATTATTTGGATTTTCCCTTCTAGTCCAACCTAAAGTCAAAGTAGGCCAAATCCCATGAGCCTGAGGTCTGGCTGGCTCCTGTGTGAACTTTCTTTGCCAAAAGCAAGACCACCTTTACCATAACAAAAAACTTAAACTTTAAAAGAATCCGATGTATATTCCTACAAAATTAAGAGTGAGAGAAGGGCTGGGTAGGGAACAGATGGGTGGGAATGTTGAAAAGGGTGACAAATATATTCCTAAACCGTTAAGTGGCAACTCCTCTGTACAACTACTTAAAGAAAAAAAAAAAAAAGCAAGATTAACAGCTCCCGGGAGAGCCTGGGACCTGTGTTCAGAGCAGCCACAGTTCAGTGAAGGAAAACCACACAGGCAGGAAAAAGGCAGGGCAAACCTAGGGAGAGGACGGGGTGGGGCCTAGTGCACTACTCACAGGTGCCTGCGTGGTACTTGACGGCGCTGACGCTGTGCCCGTGTGCCGGGAAGGTGCGCACCGGCTCCCCGGTGTCAGCCAGCCAGCACTTGACGGTCCGGTCTGCACTACCCGAGTACAGGAGCTGGTCCGTGAGCTGGAGGAGGAAGGGGGAGGGTTGGCCCACGAGGCACCAAGTCTCTGCGGTCCTGGCTGCCCCTGATCTCCCTATGATGGGAGGGAGCATGGGCCTCAGGGCTGAAAGGCTTGGATGAGTGTAGAAGGCCCTGGAGCAGGCCCCCAGGGAGAGCCCACTTCACACCAAGGGCCGGGTCTCCGCCTTCAAAGGTGGTGGTTTCTTGTCCTCTCGGTCTTGGGGATTGAACCCAGGACCCTGAACTTGCCAGGCAAGTGCTTTGCCTCTGAGCCGCATCCCAAGCCCTGCTTCCTTCCTTTAAAGTGCTCACATCCACATGTGGTCTCAAGCGTGGCTTCATCCATGTGTCTGTTTCCCGTTACATCTGAAATGGTCCACGTCTGAGGGGCTTGGGAGTTTGTGCCGGTACCGAGGCTTGAACTTGGAGCGTGGCACTCCTGCCTAACTTTTTCTTTCAAGGCTGCCACTCTACCACCTGAGCGACGCCTCCACTTCCAGCTTTTTGGTGCTTCACTGGAATGAGTCTTACAGGCTTTTCTGTCCAGGCTGACTTCAAACTGAAATCTCCAGCTTCCAGCCTCCTGTGCCCAGTCCTAGCTGAAGTTTTTAAACCACACACCTAAAACCATGAAGGAAGCTGGCCGCTGGGGCTCCCGCCTGTCCTCCTAGCTACCCAGGAGGCTGAGATCTGAGGGTCACCGTTCAAAGCCAGCCGGGGCAGGAAAGTTGTGAGATTCTTTAGTGTTTTAAGACAAGATCTTTCTGTGCTGTAGCCCAGGCTGGCCAAAAATGCAGCCATCTTCCCGCCTCTGCCTTCCTCATGCTGGAATTACTGTTTTATGCCACGGCACTCGGCTCCGAAAGGACTCATTAAACCCACCTGGCCTGCCGTGGCCTCTGCAGGACCTGCCCTAATCCGCTCATTTTTACAACTTCATCCTTTTCACTTAGTGTCCATTTTTCCGGAAGGTTCCCATTGCTGGGATCTGAATGTGTCCCCCAAAGGTCACTGGTGCTGCAGTGGCTCACGCCTGTAATCCTAGCAACTCAGGAGGCTGAGATCTGAGGATCACAGTTCAAAGCCAGCCCAGGCAGGAAGGTCTTTGAAACTCTTATCTCCAGTGAACCACCAGAAAACCAGAAGTGGCGCTGTGGCTGAAGTGGTAGAGGGCTAGCCCTGAGCTGCTGAGGGACAGCGCCCAGGCTCAGAAAAGCCCTTAGGATCAGAAAACAAATGAAGCAAAGATGGCAAACGTAGGCCCCAAGGAAGTCAGGACGGGCGCACAGGGAGGGGCTTGGGTGGTGACAGCGGCCCTCCATTGGTGCCTGGGCCCCTGGGGCTCCTCCCTCGGGCCCAGCTTGCCAGGGCAGTGGCTGGCGGGCCCTTCTCACCTCCAGACAGATGACGGAGCCCTGGTGCTCCCGGAACACCCGCAGCTGCTGGCCGCTCAGGATGTCCCAGGCGCGGACGGTGGCGTCGGTGCTGCCCGTGAAGGCCGTGTGGCCCGGCGCGTCCAGCACGAGGCACAGCACGGCCCCGGTGTGGCCCCGCAGGGTCTGGTGGCAGCAGCCACTAGCCACCTGCCACACCTTGGCCGTGCCATCTGTGCTGCCAGTCACCAGCAGCCCCCCGGCCACGGGGGCCTCCACGCGGGGCGAGGCCGCGGCGTCCCGGCGGGCAGCGTAGGCCAGGGTCAGCACACAGTTATGGTGGCCCCGGAACTCCCGGGTCGCCTGCCCCTGCTCCACCGTCCAGGCACGGGCCGTGCGGTCATAGGAGCTGCTGAACAGCTGGTTATCCGCGACCAGGATCCTGCGGGCAAAGGGCGGGGTGCTCACGGGGTGTGGACCCACAGGGGGTCCTGGGGGCTAGCCTTGGCACTGGAACAGCCTGTTAGTCTGCAGTCGCCACCCACAACATTCGAGGCCCAGGCCAGAGCGCCTGCCTCCAGGAGGCCGGCTGGTGCCCTCCAACGACCCCCTCCTCAATCCAGGCAAGCCGTCCGCTGGCCTGGCTTCCACCACCAGTGCAGACCAAGCCTCCACACGTGACCCACACGTTGGACCCACTCAGAGACAGACCCTCTACATGGGCATGGGAGGACAGGGCCCTGGGCACTGTGGCTCATGCCTAGAATCCTGACTACTCAGGAGGCTGAAACCTGACGATCCAGCCTGGGCAGGAACGTCTGAGGGCCTCATCACCAACTAACCACCAGAACACCAGGCTTGGTGCTGTGGTTCAAATGGTAGAGCACTAGCCTAGAGTAGGCCCACCATCTTGGAGTGCTAGGCTGGGTTAGCCCAGCCCCAAAGCCTCTCAGTGGCCAGTGGCTGGTCCTGTGTCTGCCTGCCCCAGCCCGGGGCCCACCCAGGCCACTGTGACTGAGAGCCCTGCATGACCATCACAGGCGGCAAAAGGTATCAAATTGTTCTGACCAGCAATGGAACTGGCATCACTTGGCACAAGCCCAGGTTCAAAAGGGAAACAAGCCAGCAAGCCCCTGAGAAAGAAGTGCACTTAACGGCTATGAGGAAAGGAGTTTTCATTTGTTGGTGGTAGTTGCTGTTTTTCTTTTTCCAGTCCTGGGACTTGAACTCAGGGCCTTGTGGCTTTTACCATTCAAGGATGGTGCTTTTACCACTTGAGCCACACCTCCACTCCTGGCTTTTCATTGGTTAGTTGAAGATAATCCCATGGACCTTTCTACCTAGGCTGGCTTCCAACCGGTATCCTCAGATGTGAGCCTCTTAGAGAGCTGGGATTATAGGAGAGAGCCACAGTGCCTGGCTCTGGAAAGGAGCTTGAAAAATGCCTCTTCCCAGCAATCCCCTTTCTCCTCCCAGCCCTGGGCCTGTCCTTGTACCAACTGTGCCTTCAACTTGAGCATCCTCATCCCGAGGCAGCGCAGAGCATCCTCATCCCGAGGCAGCGCAGCCCCCCCCTCCCCTGGCACCCAGGATGCCCAAGCCCACGAGTCCAAGCACCCACCTCCTCGCCTGCTCCTCCCCCAGCTCCCTGTGGCCAGGCAGTCGGCTCCAGTTCTGAAGTCAGGGTCCCCCGGCCAAGCGCCCTCACAGCTCCACGCGGGGCTAACCTGTCCCCCGTGGAAGTGTGTCCCCTGGGCGGGCTAACCTGTTCACAATGGAGGTGTGGCCACGGTACACCTGCACGCAGCGCCCGCTGGCCACGTCCCACCGGCGGATGGTGCAGTCTGCGCTGCACGTGAAGGCAGATGCCTCCTCCAGCTGGCAGAAGGTCACGTAGCTCTCATGTCCTGCTGGGGACAGCAGGGAAGCCAGCTCCGTTAGGGAAGACCGGGACACAGGAGACAAGGAGGGAAAGGACTGGAAAGTCTGGAAGTGCTGGGCTCCTTTTCATTTTCTCTTTTTTGGAGCTTGTTTTTCTCCTGGCTAGTGCTCTGCTTGAGCCATGGCTCCGTGTCCAGTGTTTTCGGTGGCTGATTGGCGATGATTACAGGTGTGCATGCGCCCCTCACCCCTGGCTTAGAGGTGCGGTAGAGGTTTGTGATCTTATTTTAGCATTGTTTCCCTGGCTGGTGTCAGATAAAGAGGTTTTAGAATCTCTTGGGTATCCGGCCAATTGGTTTTTTGCGGGGGGAAGGGAGGAGGGTCAGGGTTTAGTTACTCGGAAGAACTCAACTTCCTGGGTTCTAAGAAACAGAATTTTAAGCTGCAAAGTTTCCCCCTTTTGGAGACTACAGCAGCACCAGGGAGCTTGGAGAACAATGCAGGGCCGGAGCAAACACTTGAGGAGACCGACCGCGGGCTGGGTTTCCCTTAAAATATATCAGTCAAAAAAAAAAAAAAGAGGGAAAAATGTGTTTGTCAAAACACAGCCCAGATTTTGCCAACTCCAAAAGCATTCATAAAACATTGTAACGAGCGGTTCCTGAGACCAAAGCTGTGCCTTTCTCCCCATTGCCACTGGTGGGGAGAAAAGGGGGGCACAGAATCCTCAGGAAAGCCTCTTCAGGGTCCCCAGGGGCTGGGGACCCCAGCAGGACAGGCGAGGTGTGTCAGGGCAGCCAGGCCTGGGCTCGTGCGAGCAGCACCTGGCATCAGCAAGGACGCGGTGCCAAGGCTAGCAGAGCCAGGCTGCAGTGACCCACAAATCAGCAAGGCTGCCCAAGACTTGGGGGAGCCACTTGTAGGTGGGGGGGGGGGGGTAATGGGGTGGAAGGGAGCCCGTGGCTCACGCCTGTCATCCTAGCTACTCAGGAGGCTGAGGTCTGAGGATTGCAGTTCCAAGTCAGCCCAGGCAGAAAAGTCAGCGAGACTCTAATCTCCGCTTCACCACCAAAAGCAAAACAAAAAACAGAAATGAAGCCATGGCTCCAGCTGTACAGCGCTAGCCTTGAGCCAAAAAGCCAGGGACAGCGAGCGCCCAGGCCCTGAATTCAAGGCCCCGGCCTGGCCCAAACCAAACTACACACACAGACTGGAAGAAAAGTAATAGTGAAGTCAGCTGAGCCCCAGCCCAGACCCTCTGGTTTTCCCATGTAAAAAAGCAAACAAGAAACCCCTCAAATTTCTGACCCAGAGCTGGGCCACGCAGCTCTGCCTGGCTGGCGGAGCTCCTGCTGTGGGATGGCTGGAGGCCAAGGGGGATCGCAGGGTCAGACAGAGAGGGGCTGAGGGCGAGAACCACGATGCGGGGCGCCCTATGACCCAGGTTCACACAGCCGCAGACAGGCCCGGGCCAGCCCAGAGGGCAGCAGGGGCCCTGCCCCCACCCCCCCAAGACCCACCGGGACTCCAGCTGTTGGAACTGTGCGGAACAAGCCAAGAATGCCAAACTGAAACGGATTTTTAAAGGGATGAAGAATGCAGATAAGATGTGGTTATTATTTTCAAAAGCAAATGCCACAGCCCCGGGGTTCCCTCCTCCCGGGGTACCCGGCTCGCCAGGTCTGAGGCCCAGACGCTCCGCCCGTCCACGAAAAGTCACCCAGGGCTGGGAGCGCCGGAGGCCCCATCTGGACGAGCCCTGAAGGTGGCGTGAGACTCGGCTTCCTTTCCCTCCGGAGCCCAGAGCTCAACGGCCCCTCCACAGCCACCTGGGGACAGATGACACCACGGCCGCACCTGGCCCGCTCAGCTCGGGGACACGGGCCTCGGGGACACGGGCCGGCACCTGTGCACCTCTCCCCGGCCAGCCTGGAGGCTGTCCTTACACCGTCGCCCCCAGCCAGGGTCCCCGCAACGGGCTCTGTGTCCCCAAGGAGAAACGGGGACAGCCTTATTTGTGCACTGCTTCTCTCTCCCCCTACCCTCTCTCTGGTCGGTCGTGGGGCTTGAACTCTGGGCCGGGGCGCTGTCCCTGAGCTCTTCAGCTCAAGGCGAGCACTCTACCACTTGAGCCACAGCCACGTCTGGTTTTCTGGTTCATTGAAGAGTCTCTCGGACTTTCCTGCCCAAGCTGGCTTTGAACCAAGATCTCAGCCTCCTGAGTGGCTGGCATTATAGGGGTGAGGCACCGGCCCTCAGACTAGTTCTCTCCTACAGAAACAGATACTCTTGCTGGGCGCTGGTGGCTCACGCCTGTATCCCAGGAGGCTGAAATCTGAGGATCACCATTCAAAGCCAGCCGGGTAGGAAAGTCCGTGAGACTTTTTTTGGGGGGGAGGGGGGGAGGTCCGGTCCTGGGGCCTGGGCGCTGTCCCTCAGCTCTTCAGCTCAAGGCTAGAGCTCTACCTCTTGAGCCACAGCGCCGCTTCCGGCTTTTTTCTTTTTGCTTATGTGGTGCTGAGGAATCAAACCCAGGGCCTCACGCATGCAAGGCAAGCACTCTACCACTGAGCCACCTTCCCAGCCCTCTGTGAGACTCATCTCCAATAAACCACTAGAAAGCCGGAAGCGGCGCTGTGGCTCAAGTGATAGAGCACTGGCCTTGAGCTGGAGAGCGAAGGGACAGCGCTCAAGCCCAGAGTTCAAGCCCCACGACCGACCAAAAAAAGAACAGCTACTCTGCTGACACTTGGCAGTGCCTTTCCTAGACTATTTCCTTACTTCTTCATGCAGTGCTGGGATTTGAACTGGAGAACCTGAGCCTGCAAGGCATGTGCTGCGCCAGCTGAGCCATGCCTTAGACGGTTCGCCTTCTTCCTTAGGCTGCTGTGTGTCAGGTTTTTGGTGGTCCCAGTGCTACTGGGGTGGGAGGCACTCAGCCACGGAAGCCACGCTGTGGCCCTCAGCTGCCCTTGCAGTGTCCTATTGGAAGTGGGTGGGGGGCAGGGGAGGTGCTGGTGTGGCCTCATGCCCCCAGCAGGCCTCCGTGGAGCAGGCCTCCGTGGAAGCGGCGCTGCACCCTCCGCGCCTGCCCACTGGATTTCTGCTGGGGGAGTGGGGCACAAGTCTGTCACTGGTGCCTAGTTCTTCCAGAACCATCTCCTACATGGCCCTGACCCTTCCCACGACCCCCCTCCATGCCTCCTCCCCGGCACCCACAGCGTGTCCTCCAACCCAAAGTGCTTTGCGACTCGCCGAAGAATGACGTCCACCACAAGCTCCTGAACTTACACAAAGGTGATTCACGTGAGAGCTCTCCACACGAGCCCTGCGCCCTTCACACGAACAGATCCTGCCACGTGCTGCGCTAACCAGCGAAAACCACTAGAGCCAGAAAGCCAGCCTTGAGGGAAAGCCCGGGTGAGAGCACAAGGCCCTAAGTTCAAGCCCTGGTACTTACACGCGCGCGCGCGTGCACACACGCACAATCACACGCACACACATGCGCGCACACGCACAATCACACACGCACACACGCTCACACGCACGAACAATCACACGCATACACACGCACACACACGCTCACACGCACGCACAAGCACACACGCGCGCACACACACTATCATCTCGCCTCCTGTTGTGCACCTCCAGCGTGGGCCCAAAGCCCGCACCCTCACCGGCTCCTTCGCCCCGCTGAGAGGAGCGCACAGGCCTCGGGAGGGGAGCTCGGCGGGCTGGGGGAGGGGGGGGGCGGGTCCCCGGCCTGGGGGCGGGGGGGGGGGGTCGGTCCCTGCGGGGCGGGGGGGGGGCGGGTCCCCGGCCTGGGGGCGGGGGGGGGGGGGTCGGTCCCTGCGGGGCAGGGGGGGGGGTCGGTCCCTGCCGGGCGGGGGGGGGGGGGGGGTCGGTCCCTGCGGGGCGGGGGGGGGGCGGGTCCCCGGCCTGGGGGCGGGGGGGGGGTCGGTCCCTGCGGGGCGGGGGGGGGGTCGGTCCCTGCCGGGCGGGGGGGGGGGGTCGGTCCCTGCCGGGCAGGGGCGGGGGGGGGGGGCGGGGGGGACTCGGTCCAGGCGCCTACCTTGCAGCAGAGCGCAGCACCGGCCGTCGGCCGTGCTCCAGAGCCGCGCCGTGCCGTCCTCGCTGCCCGTCAGCAGGCGCTGGCCGTCGGGGCTCAGGCTCAGCCAGTTGATGCCCCCGCGGTGGTCGGCGCAGACCCGCAGGGCCGACCCGCCGCCCCCCCATGCTGCCCGCCCGGCCCCGCTAGGGATCGGCGGCCATCGCGGGGGCCCGAGCCGGGCCGACCCCGCCGGGAGCGCGGAAACCAGGGCGCGGGCCGGGGGACCGAGGTCTCGGGGCGGCGGGGAGCTCCGGGGACGAGCGGGGAGCCCCGGGGATGGGGGGGAGCCCCGGGGACGAGCGGGGGAGCCCCGGGGACGGTGGAGAGCCCCGGGGTCGGGCGGGGAGTCCCGGGGACAAGCAGGGAGCCCCGGGGATGGCGGGGAGCCCCGGGGACAAGCAGGGAGCCCTGGGGACGAGAGGGGAGCCCCGGGGACAAGCAGGGAGCCCCGGGGACAAGCAGGGAGCCCCGGGGATAGCGGGGAGCCCCGGGATGGCGGGGAGCTCGAGGATGGCGGGGAGCCCCGGGGACGGGAGACGAACCCCGGGGCCCAGCGCCTCGCGCGCCCTCCTTGTCCGGTCTCGCGCTGGGGCGCGGAACAATGCGGCCCGGGCCGCCCTCCACCAGCCCCCCCCCCCTCCGCCTCCCTCCGCCCCCAGGGGCCGGCCCCCCCCCCCTCCCCGCCTGACGGGAGGGCGGCCAGGTGACCCCGGAGCCCGCCGCGCCGGGAGCCACGAGCCCTGTCCCGGGGGCAGGGAGGGGACGGGGAAGCCAGAGCCGCGTGCGCCCCCGCCGGGGTCCCCGCCCCCCCCCGCCGGGGTCCCCCCCCTACCTTCCCGCCCCGCCCCTGCCGGGGTCCCCGCTCCCCCCCCCCCGCCGCGGTTCCCCCCTCCTCAACCTTCCCGCCCCACCCCCGCCGGAGTCCCCGCCCACAACGCCCCTCCCCGCCGCGGTCCCCCCTCCTCAACCTTCCCCGCCCCGCCCCCGCTGGGGTCCCCCGGCCCCCCCGCCCCCCGCCGCCCTCCCCCCACCCCCTCCAGAGTCCCGCCCCCTACCCCACCCCCCCCACCCCCGACGCGGTCCTCCTCCTGCCCCCGCCCCCGCCGGAGACCCGCCCACCGCCGCCCTTCCCCTCCCCCTCCCGAGTCCCCGCCCCCCCCACGCGGTCCCCCTCCTGCCCCACCCCCTAGCCGGGGTCCCCGCCCCGCAGCCCCCGCCGCGGCCCGCTGCTCCCCCTTAGAGCAGTCCCCGCGCCGACCTCGCTGGGGGTCGGAAGGCGCCCCCACGCGGACCCCCGGGTCCAAGAGGCAGCGGGGCTGCGGTCCCGACGGGCTGGGAAGAGGCCTCCGGCGCCCCCTCACCCCCCCCCCCCCCGCCCCCGCAGCCCGCCCCCATTCCCCCCCCCGCCCCGCAGCCCGCCCCCATTCCCCGCCCCGCAGCCCGCCCCCATTCCCCCCCCCGCCCCGCAGCCCGCCCCCATTTCCCCCCCCCGCCCCGCCGCCCGCCCCCCACCCCCGCCCCGCCGCCCGCCCCCATTCCCCCCCCCCCGCCCCGCCGCCCGCCCCCACCCCCGCCCCGCCGCCCGCCCCCATTCCCCCCGCCCCGCCGCCCGCCCCCACCCCCGCCCCCCGCCCCGCCGCCCGCCCCCCGCCCCGCCCCCCGCCCCGCCCCCCGCCCCCACCCCCGCTCCCCGCCCCGCAGCCCGCCCCCATCCCCCCGCCCCGCAGCCCGCCCCCATCCCCCCGCCCCGCAGCCCGCCCCCATTCCCCCCCGCCCCGCAGCCCGCCCCCATTCCCCCCCCCGCCCCGCAGCCCGCCCCCATTCCCCCCCCCCGCCCCGCAGCCCGCCCCCATCCCCCCCCGCCCCGCAGCCCGCCCCCATCCCCCCCGCCCCGCAGCCCGCCCCCATTCCCCCCCGCCCCGCAGCCCGCCCCCATTCCCCCCCCCGCCCCGCAGCCCGCCCCCATTCCCCCCCCCCGCCCCGCAGCCCGCCCCCATCCCCCCCGCCCCGCAGCCCGCCCCCATCCCCCCGCCCCGCAGCCCGCCCCCATCCCCCCCGCCCCGCAGCCCGCCCCCATCCCCCCGCCCCGCAGCCCGCCCCCATTCCCCCCCCCCGCCCCGCCGCCCGCCCCCATCCCTCCGCCCCGCCGCCCGCCCCCATTTCCCCCCCCCCGCCGCCCGCCCCCACCCCCGCCCCCCGCCCCCGCAGCCCGCCCCCCGCCCCGCCGCCCGCCCCCACCCCCCGCTCCCCGCCCCGCCCGCCCGCCCCCCCCGCCCCGCAGCCCGCCCCCATCCCCCCGCCCCTCAGCCCGCCCCCATCCCTCCCCCGCCCCGCAGCCCGCCCCCCCCGCCCCGCAGCCCGCCCCCATTCCCCCCCCCCGCCCCGCAGCCCGCCCCCATTCCCCCTCCCCGCCCCGCAGCCCGCCCCCATTCCCCGCCCCGCAGCCCGCCCCCATCCCCCCGCAGCCCGCCCCCCATCCCCCCCCGCCCCGCAACCCGCCCCCATCTCTCCCCCGCCCCGCAGCCCGCCCCCATTCCCCCCGCCCCGCAGCCCGCCCCCATCCCTCCCCCGCCCCGCAGCCCGCCCCCCCGCCCCGCAGCCCGCCCCCACCCCCGCTCCCCGCCCCGCCGCCCGCCCCCCCGCCCCGCAGCCCTCCCCCCATCCCCCCCGCCCCGCAGCCCGCCCCCATCCCCCCCCCTGCCCCGCAGCCCGCCCCCCCGCCCCGCAGCCCGCCCCCATTCCCCCCCCCCCCCCCCCACACACACACACACACACTGGGAAACCGGAAGTGGCGCTGTGGCTCAAGTGGTAGAGCGCTCGCCTTGAGCTGAAGAGATGAAGGACAGCGCCCAGGCCCAGAGTTCAAGCCCCACGACCGACCAAAAACAAGAAGAGGAAACCCAGAATCTGTCTACCTGGAAACTGGGACGGGGAGGTGTCAGAGGGGCCTGGCCGTGTCCGCACCTGGCCGGAACACCGCCTGGAAGGCAGGTTCCTCCGCCAGCCCCGCAGACCCTGCCCAGCTCCGGGCAGGCCGCAGACCACGACGCCGCACCCTCCCCGGCGTGGAGGACGAAGGCTTTCCTCTCCCTTCTCTGTGGTGTTCCAGGCCTTCAGCTCGGTCTGGTGTTCTACCACTTGAACCATGCCTCCAGACCTGGTTTTTTTTGCTGCAGATGGGCTTTTCTCCTGAGCTGGTGGGATCTCAGCCTCCAGAGTAGCTAGGATTACAGGTATAAGCCACTGGACATCCAGCTGTCTGTTGTTTGTCAAGAAAATGGAAGCCTTCACTGAGAGTCATTGTGAGGGTGTGTGGGGGCGGTCCCCGCAGGAATTCCAGAAGGAAATAGGCAGCTCACAAGGCTGTGCAGAAGCAGAGGGCATGAACCCCGGCGTGTCTGTTTCAGGGAGACAGGGCTGCTACCAGCCCGGGGGCTGGACAAAGGCAGGTGCTGAGAAAAGGAATGGAAAGAGAGCTCCAGGATCTCCCTACCTAGCTCATGCTGGCCTCGAACTCGTGATCCTCAAGCCTCTGCTTCCCAAGTTCTGAGATGACAGGTGTGCACCACCATGTCCAGCAACAACTGAAGAGCTTTTGAAGAGGCTTGGTTAGGTTTAACGATTGCTAAGGAGGGCAGCAGACCAACAGAGACCCCTGAGGAGCAAGGAAAGGAGGGAGTCTGGAGTGGGAGAGAGGCCTTAAATGCGCAGAAAAGACACTTTCTCCTGTGCTGAGCACAGAGCGAGACACCCTGCCTGTTACTGAAATCGGGGGCCGCCATGGGTGGTACAAGCCCTGGCCAGCAAGCTACCCCTTCCGTGCACGACGCCTCCTACTCTACACTTGAAACAAATAGAAAGGCAAAGTTTAAAAGCTGTATGAAGAGACCATGGGAAGTAGATACACTGAGCTTCGTGCTGGTGAGCTTTCGGTTACCATGACAGAACACCCGAGGTCCATGTTCAAAGGAAAAAGATGGAAGGCGAGGAAGGAGGCCCAGTGGTAGAGCGCTGGCCTCACACGCATGAAGCCCTGGGTTCCATTCCTCAGCACCACAAACACAGAAAAGGCCAGAAGTGGCGCTGTGGTTCAGAGTGCCAGCCTTGAGCAAAAAGCAGCTCAGGGACAGCGCCTGGGCCTTGAGTTCAAGCCCCAGGACTGGCCAAAAAGAAAAAAAAAAGTATTTGGACCCGGTGTTTGGGAGATTTCTGGCTGTGATCTTTTCACCAGGTTGCTGAGGGCCTGGGTGGAGACGGAAGGAGAGAGCTGAAGTCATCCCTGTCCTCAGGAGCCAGGCCCAACCCTTTAAACAGCTCCCACCTCCCAGTACAACCACCCCCTGGGACCGGGCCTTTCCTTTGGGAGGGGTTAGAGTTCATATTCCATGCTCTGTAAACTTCATTAAACCTGATAGATCTCTTGACCAGCAAAGCTCAGGGACCTGTGTTCAAATCCCAGCACCACCAAACCAAACACAAAAGCAACTCTCCTTCCTCTTTTTTTTTTTTTGGGGGGGGGGGGGGTCCAGTCGTGGGCCCTGAACTCGGCCTGGGCGCTGTCCCTCAGCTCTTCAGCTCAAGGCTAGCGATCTACCACTTGAGCCACAGCGCCACTTCTGGCTTTTTTTTTTTTTTGCTTATGTGGTGCTGAGGATTGAACCAAGGGCCTCAGGCATGCAAGGCAAGTGCTCTACCACTGAGCCACCTTCCCAGCCCCTCTCCTTCCTCTTGAGAGCAATGTGCCTTTGTACCGCCTGGAAGCCTGGTGACAGGACCCCACCCCCACCCCCGCCCAGCAGGGGTGGGCCAAGGCAGGGCCCACTGTGCACATGCTCAGGTCACTCTGTGGCCACCCCGCATCTGACCCTGGCATGTGAGGCATTTCCCGGGTCTCTGACCAGCACAGGTGCCTGCAGAAGGACGGGCGCTCTCTAGAGAGCAAGCAGCTGGCACGCATGCTCTCCCAGGGCCTGCTGCATCTCCCTCCCGCCGCCTCCTGGCAGCGGGGTGCCCGGCTGGCAGTGGGGTAGAGTGCCGGGCTGGCAGCGGGGTAGAGTGCCCGGCCGGAAGGGGGGTAGGGTACCCGGCTGGCAGTGGGGTAGAGTGCCCGGCCGGAAGGGGGGTAGGGTGCCCGGCTGGAAGGGGGGGTAGGGTGCCAGGCTGGAAGGGGGGTAGGGTGCCTGGCTGGAAGGGGGGTAGGGTGCCCGGCTGGCAGGGGGGTAGGGTGCCCGGCTGGAAGGGGGTAGGGTGCCCGGCTGGAAGGGGGGTAGGGTGCCCAGCTGGCCAGCCGCAGGCAGGCAGTGCCCACACAGCGTCCATACACTGGCATTGTCTTTTTTTGGTTGTGGGGCCTGAACTCTGTGCCTAGGTGCTTTTCCTCAGCTCTTCAGCTCAAGGTGAGCGCTCTA